AAAATCAAAAAATCGAAAAAGCGACATTGTGCATTTTCAATAATTTTAAATGTTGAAAAATAGAGAACAACTGAAAAATTGGAAAACTGAAAAACCGAAAACTTGAAAAAAAAACAAAATAAATAAAGGCTGTAAAAACGAAAAATTGAAAAATTCAAAAATTGAAAAACGAAAAATTCATACCGCTAATTTAATTTTTTAAAATTTTTCCATTTAAAATTCTTCGATTTGACAGTTAATACGATTTTTCAATTTTTGGCTTTGCAATTATTCTCATTTTCAGTTTTGAATTTTTTGATGAAATTTTTAGACTTAATTTTTCGAGTTTTTGATCTTTAATTTCTCATTTTCAGTAACTGAAATTTTAAATGTTGAAAATGGAGAACTGAAAGTCTGAAAAATCGAAAAATTGAGAAATTGATAAACTGTGAAAAATTGCGAATGGAAAAATTAAAGAAATTTAAAATTGAGAAGCTTAGAAGTAGAAAAATCGAAAAATTGAAGAAACGAAAAATTAATTCATCAATAAATCATAGCGCCAATTTTTCATTTTTAAAATTTTTCCATTTAAAATTTTTCGATTTTACAGTTAATATGATTTTTCTTTTTTTGGTTTTCCAATTGTTCTAACTTTCAGTTTTGATTTTTTTTGGTGAAATTTTTTGACGTTTAATTTTTCAAGTTCTTGATCTTTAATTTTTCATTTTCAGTAGCTGAAATTTTAAAAGTTGAAAATAGAGAACCGAAAATATGAAAAATCGAAATATTAAAAAAATTAAAAATCGAAAAGTTGAGAAATCGATAAACTGTGAAAACGAAAAATTGACGAATTTAAGAGTCGAAAAATTGAAAAACTATAAATTTATTAATTGATAAATCGAAGATCTGAAAAACTGAAAAATTGCGAATGGACAAATTAAAAAAATTAAAATTTGAAAAATTTAGAAGTTTAAAAACCGAAAAATTGAAAAATCAGAAAATCTAATAATTGACAAATCGAAAAACTGAAAAATTGAAAGATTCAAAAATTGAAGAAACGAAAAATTCATACCGCTAATTTTTCATTTTTAAAATTTTTCCATTTAAAATTCTTCGATTTGACAGTTTATACGATTTTTCAATTTTTGGCTTTGCAATTATTCTCATTTTCAGTTTTGAATTTTTTGATGAAATTTTTAGACTTTTAATTTTTCGAGTTTTTGATCTTTAATTTCTCATTTTCAGTAGCTGAAATTTTAAATGTTGAAAATTGAGAACTGAAAATCTGAAAAATCGAAAACTTGAGAAATTGATAAACTGTGAAAAATTGCGAATGGAAAAATTAAAGAAATTAAAAATTGAGAAGCTTAGAAGTAGAAAAATCGAAACATTGAAAATTTGCTAATCGAAAAATTGAAGAAACTAAAAATTGAAAAATCGAAAAATTGAAGAAACGAAAAATTAATTCATCAATAATTCATAGCGCCAATTTTTCATTTTTAAAATTTTTCCATTTAAAATTTTTCGATTTTACAGTTAATATGATTTTTCTTTTTTTTGTTTTTCCAATTGTTCTAATTTTCAGTTTTGAATTTTTTTGGTGAAATTTTTAGACTTTTAATTTTTCGAGTTCTTGATCTTTAATTTCTCATTTTCAGTAGCTGAAATTTTAAAAGTTGAAAATAGAGAACTGAAAATTGAAAAAATCGAAAAATTGAGGAATTTAAAAGTCAAAAAATTGAAAAATTATAAAATCTAATAATTGATAAATCGAAAATCCGAAAACTGGAAAATTGCGAATGGAAAAATTAAAGAAATTAAAAATTGGAAAGTTCAAAAATTCTAATCAAAAAATTTCAAATCGGAAAATTGAAGAAACGACAAACTGAAGAAATGAAGAATCATCAATAATTTTCATAAGTTTTCAATTTGCAATTTTCCGATTTTACAGTTTTTACGATTTTTGAATTTTTGGTTTTACAATTGTTCTAATTTTCAATTTTGAATTTTTTGATGAAATTTTTTGACTTTTAATTTTTCAAGTTCTTGATCTCCAATTTTTCATTTTCAATAATTGAAATTTTAAACGTTGAAAAATAGAGAACAATCGAAAAATTGAAAAACTGTAAAAACGAAAAGTAGAAAAGGAAGGAAAAAACAAAAAAATAATAAATCGAAAATCTGTGAAAACAAAAAATTGAAAAATCAGAAAATCTAAGAATTGACAAATCGAAGAACTGAAAAACTGAAAGTTTTCAATTTGTGAATCGAAAAATCGAAGAATATAAAAATTGAAAAAGCGAAAAATTGAATAAACGAAAGATTAATTCATCAATAATAATTCATACCGTCAATTTTTCATATTAAAAATTTTTCCGTTTAAAATTTCTCGATTTTACAGTTTTTACGATTTTTCAATTTTTGATTTTGCAATTGTTCTTATTGTCAGATTTGATTTTTTTGACGATATTTTTAGATTTTTAATTTTTGGACTTCTTGAATTTTAATTACTCATTTTTAGTAGTTGAAATTTTAAAAGTTGAAAATAGAAAACAACTGAAAACCTGAAAAATCGAAAAATCAAATTTTAAAAATCGAAAAACTGAAGAAGTGAAAAGTCGAAAAATTGAACAATTGTAAAACATAATAATTGACAAACTGAAGAACTGAAAAACCGAAAAATTGAAGAAATTAAAAATTGAAAAATTTAGAAGTTGAAAAATAGAAAAATTGAAAAGTTCAAAAATTCTAATCGAAAAATTTCAAGTCGGAAAATTGAAGAATGCAATATTCCGATAATTGATCTAGTTTTCAGTTTTGAGCTTTTTAACTAAATTTTTAGATTTTTAATTTTTCAAGCTCTCGGTCTTTAATTTCTCATTTTCAAAGTAACTGAAATTCTAAAAGTTGAAAAATAGAGAACAATTAAAAAGTTAACAAACCGAAAAAATGAAAAATCGAGAAATTGCAAAAATTTAAAAATTGAAATATTGCAAAAATTAAAAAACTGCAAAATTCGGAACTTGAAAAATCGAAAAACCACCAAATCACGTAAGTCGTCGTTAGAACATACAACTCATGTTGTGCTTTTAACACAACCTAATTGTGCCTTATTTCCGTTTTCTGTGCCAAGTTACGACCTACTTTTCGACTAAATTTGCCTCTCAACCAATTCTCAGTCAGAAATTTCAAAAATCACCCGATATAAGACTCGGATAAACGAAAATCTCGGCCACTCGTGCGCGTATTTCAACCTTTGTTTGTCGGAGCCCCCCGCGACGCCAATTTATTTAAAAAACGTTCAAACATCCATTTCCTCCCATTTTTTGCACAGCTACAAGTAAAGGTTTACGGCAGTTCATTAAAATTTTTATTGAAACATTTTTTTCAAACCAGTCAGACACCATAAACACATCTTGTGCCACTAAATTTGGCATCACACAAGTCGCGAAAAAGAGAAAAGTCGTTCCAGGTTAGCTCAAAATATTTGGTTAAATAATTCTGACGTGTGCGCCTTCCGCGAAATACTCAGAAGAGGCGAACTCTTTCTACTATTTAGTACACGCAGTTTTAAAAATAGACACTCATTTAGTAGGTGTAAAACTTTATTGAAAATGATTCACAAGTGACTTCCGATTTCGAAAATTTCAACCAATAAAATTTGGCAAACAGTGTGCACACGGTTCTTGACTTTGTTTGTTTTTCGAAGCCGGCGGTGATGCCAATTGTGTGTATTGTGTGTATTTGGGGAAAAGCTGACTTAGAGTGGGTAATGGTCAATGACTTTGGATAAAATGTTGCGCGTGCGGAAAGTAACATTTCCGCACTGACACTTTTATCACACATAAATAAACCCACACAATCACACATTTTCGCATATACAATGCCCATCTGATTAGATTTTATTGCATCGCTAGTAATGATTTTTATTTTTGCTTTATGCCAAACAAAAATAAACAAATCAGTTAATAAAAAAAACATTTACTTTAACACCATGTGGTTTATGATACAAATACATTCCTCGAAGTATGAAGCTATTTTTAATACAAGTTACTAATAATACATATAACGCAAGATCTTAAAATAATTATTAAAATCCCACCTATAGCTGAATTCCTGCGGTAATTTACGAGTCATTTTCAAAACAATTTTGACCTGATTGTTTTTCTTTTAATATTAGCTGCCAACATGATAATAACATGTAGCTGAATGGTTTTATGTCTGACGTAGTTAATAAAACGCTGCAAATATTTCCGCCAGTTCCGAGGCATTTGCTGTAAAAAATCGTGCAGATGGCGTTGGCAGTGACGAAAGCGCGTCCTTTCTGCACGGGTTGCAAGCAACGGGGTTAAATTTCGTCGAAGTTTAGTGCGGGTCGAAAATAGCCGGATGCATTCTTTGTATCACTGTGATTATGAATCATAAATGACGAATGCCGTGAAAATGTTCGAACGTAAAATATGCTCCTAAAAAACTAATAAAGTACGCAAAAGTCAAACAAAGTAAAAATAGCGGCGGCATTAAAAAATCCAGCGACACCGTCGAACCGATGATTCATAATCAATGATATGATAAACAGTACGTGAATACTTACGAGATTGTGTGTAAATGCGTTTAAAGCAACACTCGAGGATAATTTTGCGAAAAACTGCATAAAATCCGCCCGCACAAACCAAATTCCTGCGAGGCGTAGCCCGGACTTACCCCAAAGCTTGTCTAATGAAATTGCGAATAGCAACAAGTGGGCGGCGGAGCGCCAATGAGAGCGTCGCGACGTGGGCGTCCGTTCGGTGTATGCGTACAAAAGCACTATATTAAACGAATTCTGAATGAGTTCGATTAGTTAATTAGATAGACGCCAGATTGATTACTCCCTGTCAGTTCTGAGTGGCGATAATTATAGGCTAATCAAGAAAAGAGATAAAAATTGGTAATTGCTTTCAATATTTATAAACTTTTCAAACAGACGGCTAGAATCGCCGAGGCATGAATGAAAAAGTAACAGGTGTGTTTTTTTCCAGGAAATTTTTAGCAGCCCTGAATATGGAGACGTTTCGCGCAGGGTGTCGTCGGGAATAGCGCGTTGCTAAGACCACGAGGTGCGAGGGTTGGTTTCACCCTTAATCCTCAAAATTATCCAACGCCATCGCTGGCTACTATGCTAATTGCACATTGGATCCGAGCCCTCATTGCGGTAAGTCGTATTTGATAACACACTACTTATAAAAGCTCTGAATTAAGCACGATTGATTTTTTGGTAACGTTCTCACAGCTTTTATAAACACATCCATGAAATTTTTAACTTTTGCGTCTATTTTACCAAAGTACGGGTTTCTCGTTTCCGTCTGTATGTCCGCTGCAAACTGCGGACATTCCGAATAATCTTCGTTTGAAACTTTAAATATAAAATAAAATTTGTCCACTAAATTTCGCAAAATGTCCAGCGTGACGTTCTTCTACCTGTAGTTTAATAATCTTTGTCTATTTTTAACTTTACGTATGTATACAAGCTGTCTTTAAAAATAGAATTTAACCACTCAAAGTTTTCAATTTACTATTTACTTGTTTGAAATTTTCACCTTGAAAAACTTGAGACGTCATCTCAAAAGAAATCTGTCTTCATTAACAAAAAACGCTTCCTGAAATGTGGTGTCCTTTGAGCTCGATTTTTTTCAGTTTTTCGAATAAATTATATAGGGTGTTTTTTTGATGATTCTATTTTTACGACCTTCGGTGAACATAAATATTAATAGGGCCTTCAAATGAGTAAACGTATTTGAAAGGTATCGTTCTAATAATAGTAGGGTTTTTCACAAGTGGCTTGAAATTTTTTCAGTTTTAATGAAATTGATGACTTAATATAAATAAATTTGTACGAAAATTTCGACGGCGGCGTCCTTTGTGGTTCAATAATATTATATTTTTTAGAATTGTTTATACAGGCTGTCTCAAAAAATTAATATGTGGACCATTTTTTTCTTGATTATTTCATAAATGGGGATCCTGAAATTCTACAAATAATGTCAGCATTAATTAAAATTATTTTATAATGTCCATTTCAAAATTCATATACAGGATGTCCCATTAATAACAGAAAGCGGAAAGTTTTAACTCATAAATTTGAATTTTCATTATGAATCACGAAGATGCTAATTGAGTTTTTTTTGAGTAATTTACGGTTGAAATATAGAGAAATCGAAAACTTGAAACATCAAAAAACTAAAAAAAAATAGAAAAACTGACCAAACGGAAAATTAAAAACATGAAAAATTAATAATGCAAATCTTCAATTTTTAATTTTTTCAGTTTTTCCATTCAGTTCAATTTTTTGGAAATTTAAATTTTTCAATTTTTCTATTTTCGATTTTGCAATTGTAGTTTTCAGTTTTGAATTTTTCGGTTACAGTTTCAGATTTTTAATTTTTCAAGCTCTAAAAATTGTATAGGTGAAAAATTGCAAATCGAAAAATTGAACTGATTTTTCATTTCTTCAATTTTTCCATTTGTAATTTTTAGATTTTTGAAATTTTCAAAATTTTATTGTTTGAATTTCTCGTTTTTTGATTTTTCGATTTTTGGTTTTGCCATTGTTGTAATTTTCAGTTTTAAATTGTTTGATTACAATTTCAGATTTTTAGTTTTTCACGTCTGGATCTTTAATTTTTCATTTTTAATAATTGAAATTTTAAAAGTTGAAAAATGGGAAAACTGAGAAAACAAAAATTGAGAAAATGAAACACTGGAAGTTCGAAAAGTTGAAAAATCGAAAAATTGAAAACTTCAAATAATGTAATCCAAAAATTGAAGGACGAAAATGAAGAAACGGAAAATTAATTCATCAAAATAATTCTTAGCTCCAATTTTTCATTTTTTCTTTTATCCATTTGTAATTTTTCGATTTTTAATTTTCTGAAAATTTTAATTTTTCCATTTCTCGATTTTTCAAAACTTAATTTTGCAATGTAGTTATAAATTTTAAATTTCTCAGTTGAGGTTTTAGTTCTTTCATTTTTCCTTTTCAATAATTGACATTTTAAAGTTGAAAAATCGAAAAATTGCAATGTTCAAAAATTGTACTTACTCGAAAAATTACAATGGAAAAATTCAAAAACCAAAAAATGGAAGAAATAAAAAATTTATTCATCAATAATTCATAGCTTCAATTTTTCTATTTGTAATTTTTCGATTTTTCAACTTTTCGAATTTTTAATTTTTCAAGATTTCTTAATTTTTTGTTTTTCAATTTTTGGTTTTACAATTGTTGTAGTTTTCAATTTAAAATTTTTAGATTAGAATATTAGAATTTTAGTTTTTCAAATTCTTGGTCTGTAATTTTTCATTTTTAATAATTAAAATTTAAAAAGCGGAAAAATGGAAAATCTGAGAAAACGAAGCACTGAAAACTCGAAATTTTGAAACGTTGAAAAACTGAAAAGTTCAAATATTTATTGAATAAAAATTGAAGAAGGAAAAACTGAAGAAACGAAAAACTAATTCACCAATAATTCATAGATGTTTTCAATTTTTTTTTCTTCAATTTTTCCATTTGGGATTTTCCGATTTTTTAAGTTTTGAAGATTTAAATTTTTCCGTTTCTCGATTATTCAATTCTTGGTTTTACAATGTAGAAATTTAAAATTTCTCAGTTGAAGTTTTAGATTTTTAATTTTTCAAAATCTTGATCTTCAGTTTTTCTTCTTTTCAATATTTGCAACTTTAAACTTGAAAAACTGAAGAAACAAAAAAATGGAAGAAATAAAAAATTATCTCTAATTTTTCGATTTACTTATTCATAATTTTTAGATTTTTTTTTCAATTTTTGGGAAATTTTAATTTTTCGATTTCTCGATTTTAATTTTCCAATTTCTGGTTTTGCAGTGTCGTAGATTTCAGTTTAAAATTGTTAAATTAATTAAAATTTTTCCATTTCCCGATTTTTCAATTTTTGAATTTATAATGTAGAAATTTAAAATTTCTCAGTTGAAGTTTTAGGTTTTGATTTTTCAAGTTCTTGATCTTTAATTTTTCTTTTTCAATTATTGAAATTTTAAAATTGAAAAATTGAAGAAGCAAAAAAATGGAAGAAATAAAAAATTATCTTTAATTTTTCGATTTGTACATAATTTTTAGGTTTTTTTAATCTAAGGGAAATTTTAATTTTTCGATTTCCCGATATATTAATTTTTCAACATTTGGTTTTGGAGTGTTGTAGTTTTCAGCTTAAAATTTTTAAATGAATGTTTTAGATTTCAAATTTTTTAGGTTCTCGATCTTTGATTTTCATTTTCAATAATTGAAATTTTAAAGTCGGAAAATCAGAGTTGAGAATACGAAAAATTCAAAAATCAGAAAATTAGAAAATTTAATTACTGAAAAATCGAAAAATTGAAGGAATTGAAAATTGAAAAATTTGAAATATCGAAAAATTGAAGAAGTCCAAAATTTTCATCGAAAAATGAAGAAATGAAAAATTATTTCACCAATAATTCATATCTATAGTTTTTCATTATTTAATTTTTCCATTTGTAATTATTCAATTTTTCAACTTTCGGAAATTTTAATTTTTCTATTTCTCGATTTCTAATTTTTCAATCTTTGTTTTTGCAATGTTGTAGTTTTCAATTCAAAATTTTTTAATTAAAGTTTTTGGTTTTTAGTCTTTCAGCTTCTCGTTTAAAGACTGAAAAATCGAAAAACCGAAAAATTAGAAAATCTAATAACTGAAAGTTAGGCGAAAAAATGTAAACCGAAAAATTTAAGAAATTTAAAAGGGAAAAATTTTAAAGCTGAAAAATCGAAAAATTGAAAAGTTCAAAATTGTAATCGAAAAATTGCAAATTGAAAACTGAAGAAACGAAACATCGGAGAAATGAAAAATTAATTCATCAACAATTTATATCTCTAATTATTCTATTTTTTAATTCTTCGACTTTTTTTTTCAATGTTTGGAAATATTAGTTTTTTGATTTCCCGATGTTTAATTTTTCAATCTTGTTGTAGTTTTCAGTTTAAAATGTTTCAATTAATCTTTTAGATTCCCAATTTTTCAGGTTCTCAATATTTAATTTTTGTTTTTGATAATTTTAAAGTCGAAAAATCGAAGAATTGTGAACTTGAAAAATTGAATAGATCAAAAATTTTAATCGAAAAATTTCAAACCGAAAAATTGAAGAAAAAAAATTACTTCACCAATAATTCATATCTCCAATTTTTCATTACTTAAATTTTTCCATTTTTAATGTTTTGAAAATTTTAATTTTTCCATTTCTCGATTTTTCAAATTGTGATTTTACAATGTAGTTTTAAATTTTAAATTGTTCAATTGAAGCTTTAAATTTTTATTTTTCAACTTCTTGATCTTTAATTTTTCGTTTTCAAAAATTGAAATTTTAAGTTGAAAAATCGAAAAACTGAAAAATCAAAAAATTATAATCGAAAAATTACAATTGGGAAAATTGCTGAAACAAAAAATGGAAGAAATAAAAAATTAATTTATCAATAATTCATGTCTCCGGTTTTTCCATTTGTGATTTTTATTTTTTTCAAATTTCGGAGAAATTTTATCTTTTTCGTTTTCGCGATTTTTAATTTTTCAATTTTTGGTTTTGCAGGAGTTTTTAGTTTAAAATCATTCAATTAATGTTTTAGATTTCCAATTTTTCAGGTTCTCGATCTTTAATTTTCCATAACTGAAATTTTAAAGTCGAAAAATGGAAAAATTGAAAATATGAAAAACTGAAAACTCGAAAAGTTGAAAAATCTAAAATCGAAAAATTTGAAAACCTGAATTTTTATATTTTTATTTTTTCAAGTTCTCGATCTTTCGTTTTTTATTTTTATTAATTGAAATTTTAAAAGTTGAAATTAGAGAATTATAAAAAAAATGAGAAACCGAAAAACTTGAAAAATTGAAAAATTCTAAAATTAGAAAATTTAATAATTGACAAATCGAAAATCTGAAAAACTGAAAAATTGCTATTCGAAAAATGAAAAAATTGAAAAATTTTAATACTAAAAAATTGAGAAACAAAAAATCGAGAAACTAGAAATAAGAAATTGAAAAAAATGGAAAGTCGAAAAAAATTTAAAATGGAAAATTGAAAAATCAGAAAATCTAATAATCGTCGATTCTTCAATTATTACTCCAAAATTCAAAAGTTGAATAATAGAAAAATTGAAAAATCTAAAAACTTA